TACTGTATATCAGTGAGACTGAGAGAAGCAGGACACAGCCACAGTGCTGGAGCGGATCCCTCAAGGGCATCCACACCCTCGTTCTACTGGAAAAGAGCTTCACTGAGAACATATCACCATAGCAACATTGAGAGATGTAAGGAGGCCATGAATATCTGAACCAGAGCATAAGGGGGCGTTCACATAGGACAATTTCTTAAATTAAAACCAACTAAACGGAACATAACGGAAGTGAATTAACTCCCATACACTGATGCAAATAAAACAGATACCGTACCCTAATACATAATATGTAAATGTATCTGTATATTGATCTGATTGGTCCATTGATTTAAAACCGACATTGATTTGATGTAAATTGGTGAACTATTTTTAACTTGACATGGTGTCAAATCATAGTTCAAAATTTGGTCTTGAAGTTTAAATACTGAACTTCCGAAAACCAGTCAATATCTGGTGTGACCACCATTTGTCTCGCGCAGTGCAACAAATCTCCTTTGCATAGAGTTGATCAGGTTGTGGCCTGTGGAATGATGGTCCACACCTCTTAAATGGATGTCCGAAGTTGCTGGATATTGGCAGAACCTGTAACACGCTGTCGTATATGCCAATCCAGAGCATCCCAAACATGCTCAATGGGTGACATGTCCGGTGAGTGTGCTGGCAATGCAAGAACTGGGATGTTTCCAGCTTCCAGGAATTGTGTACAGATCCTTGAAACATGGGGCCGTGCATTATCATGCTGCAACATGAGGTGATGGTCGTGGATGAATGGCACAACAATGGGCCTCAGGATCTCATCATGGTATCTCTGTCCATTCAAAATGCCATCAATAAAATGCACCTGTGTTCCTTGTCGATAACATATGCCTGCCCTACCCATACCATAACCCCACTGTCACCATAGGCCACTTGATCAGAACGTTGACATCAGCAAACCGCTAACCCACACGATGCCATGCACTCTGCCTGCCATCTGCCCTGTACAGTGGGAACCGGGATTCATTGGAGAGTCCATGCACCTCTCCAAAGTGCCAGATGCCATCGAATGTGAGCATTTGCCCACTCAAGTTGGTTACGACGACGGACCGTAGTCAAGTCTAGACCCTGATGAGGATGATGAGCATGCAGATGAGCTTCCCTGAGACTTTTTCTGACAGTCTGGGTGGCTGGTCTCAGACGATCTTGGAGGTGAAGATGCTGGATCTGGAGGTCCTGGGCTGGTGTTGGTTACACGTGGTCTGCAGTTGTGAGGTCGGTTGGATGTACTGCCAAATTCTCTGAAATGCCTTTGGAGACAGTTTATGGTAGAGAAATTAACATTCAATTCACGGGCAACAGCTCTGGTGGACCTTCCTGCAGTCAGCATGCCAATTGCACACTCCCTCAAAGCTGGCAACATCTGTGCCATTGTGCTGTGTGATAAAACTGCACATTTTAGAGTGACCTTTTATTGTGGCCAGCCTAAGGCACACCTGTGCAATAATCATGCTGTCTAATCAGCATCTTGATATGCCACACCTGTGAGGTGGATGGATTATGCAAATGAGAAGTGATCACTAACAGAGACTTAGGGCCAATCCCAATTCTACCCCTTACCCCTTCACTTTCCCCTTCCCCTCCGTTTTGCGCGTCCACGTGAAGGGGTAGGGCTGTCCCAATTCTCTTTTGGTTGGAGGGGGAGGGCTAGGGGAAAGGGCCAGATAGCCCTTCAAACGAAGATTTTTCGGGAGCACACTTCAAACGAAGGGGTATGAGAAGTGTCACTGCTAACCCAGGCTACAGACGCAAAATGACTGCCCAAGCAAAAAAGGAGACCCATAAATGTAAGTATTTGTGGCTTTAATAAGTATTGTAACGACAAATAATGACTTGCTTTATGTTACATTCAATATTGTGTTCATATTTACGGTCAGTTTCTTCACAGAAACGTTTGTAAAAAAATCGCTAAAATTACTGTAGTTTGCTAACGATAGTCCCGCAACATATTTTCGTCGTCTCCGTTGTTTCCTGCGAACTTCACAAGATAAATGCAAGAAAATAGCTGTAACCCACGCGACTGAGATAACTGCAGCTGTCAACGGCATCTTGGAAGTTGTGATAAACATCGGCGCATCTCCTGTGACGTAGGCGCTAGCGACGACTTATAATGACGTTTAACGGAGGCGTAGTGGTGTCCCATTTCTTAGGGGATTATTTTCACCCCTACGAATTGCCACTCTGTTTCAAGGGTCAAGAGGAAGGCGAAGGGGTAGGGCTAGGGGAAAGTGAAGGGGTAAGGGGTAGAATTGGGATTGGCCCTTAAGCTGCGTTCACACTACACGCGACTTTGTCGCTGCAGGTCGCCAGTGGCTGCGCTGGGGGCGTTCCCACTACTGGTTGCCTACTAGTAATGTTTGAGTGACATTCACGGATGTTACTCTATGTTAGACAACAAATACGTTTTACTGCCGATACAAACAAATATTTTGGAAGGAAAAGTCTAAATATAAATGGAATCAGTACATAAAATGCATAATACTAAGGATGAACGAGAAACAGTGAGTGCTCTTTGCCATCACGGCTATTTAATTGCAGCAAACGGGTAAATACTGGTCTATCTGAGTTCCCGAAACCATTCAGTCACGGAGTCAGTGCGGTGAACACCACTGTATGGTGTACACGGAGATATATCATAAATTATAGGACAGTTTCTGATTGCTAAAATAAGCTTCTCATTCAACTTGCCTCAGTCAGACTCCGCACTGAAGAGTGACGCGCTCCACTGACTTCACTCCTTTTGGTTGTCGCTCCCGAAAATCGCTCTTCATTTGCATATAGTAAAAAATTTCTCAACTTTGTCACGTCGCTGGACACGCCCCTCCGCTTGCTGACTGTCGCGACCACACGTGTCGCCGGAAGTCGTCCGCTCACCATTGAAAATTAATGGTATCGTGTCGCTTGGTCGTGTGTAGTGGGAGTGGGAGCGGGAACACACTGGGAGTTTAGTTCGGAACGGGGCACGGTTCGCATGAAAAATCGCTAATGAGAACGCTGTCATGGGACCCGGGTGCGCACTGGGGTACCGAACCCGAAACTACCTGGAGGAGGTGGTCTGAGTTCGGTTGCTTCCGAACCGTGCCGCGGTTCACGTGAATGTGAAAGCAACACTGATTCGAGAGTGCACTTGTTCAGGAAGTAAAATATTCTGCGCATGCGTTTTAGCTTATTGTGATGTATTCAGTTAAATAAAACACTTGTAAGGGATGATAGTGTTGATGATTTACGAGCGAGAGTGAGCCTGCCCTGCAGCAGACTGATCTCATGAAGTAGCGTGTGTATGACACGCCAATTCGTATTTCCATTTTTGGCGCGCTATCAAGACGCATAATCGCCTTTCAGCGTGTTTATGAACGCCGTTGACTTAACGTTATATAAATATATGACTTACCTCAACCACGTCCCTAAACTTAACCGTCACTGGGGTTAATGGCATTTATGACTGGAGATGTGACTGCGTGTACAGACACGCGGAATGACGCGGACGTTAATGGCGTAGACATATACGCATACACGCGGATAGCTCAAAATGCGTAGAGATAACACGCCACCTGACTCGAAAGTGGCGTATATGTTTACGCAAAAGTCATGATGTCATGTTGCCTGCAGTGTGTTTGTGCATTGCGCGTGGAATCAGAGAAACACATTTGGAAATCCACTGTCTCCTCAAAAAAGTCCATTTGCAAGCAGCAGAAGTCCACCTTATGTGACACACGCACAGTAAACCTGTATTGTTGTGCACCGTATTATCATGAACCGTGCACGTGTGCGATGACGTAAGATGCACGCAAACGCACCAGGGTTCGATAGAATCAAGTTGAGTGTGAAACCAGATACCTGCCAGATCGGTGCGGTCTCTTGTTTCTCACGGAGGAGCGGAAGCATAAAAGGAGGAGCGACGACAGAGGAGATCGAGAGAGGACAAGGCCTGGACTTGGTTTTTATGTTTTATTAGCCCCGTGAGGGGCTGCTGTCTATTACTTTCCATTTATTGTTGATTTATTTTATTATTAAAATCTTTAAATGTTCGCCGGTTCCCGCCTTCTTCTTCCTACAGCATCTAACCTCATTACAATATTTCTATTTTAACAATTAGTTTCTACATTTACCAGTCATAACAGCCTATATATATATATATATATATATATATATATATATATATATATATATATGAAGAGTTCAGATGCAAAAGCCTCTAAGTGCCATTTGAAATTTTCTTCTAGAATGATCATTTTTATCAAGCTTGTATATTTAAGTTCAGTAATTTCAGTTAAATTGCAATGAGGATTACCTATTAATTGTCATTTAAGTGAAATTACTGAACTTGAATATATAAGCTTGATAAAAATGATCATTTTAGAAGAAAATTTCAAATGGCATTTAGAGGCTTTTGCATCTGAACTCTTCATATATATATATATATATATTACAATAGTCAGGCAACAAACACATTTCCTAGACTCCTAAAGCCCTTGTAATTTTCCGCATACCATCCCTGCTTGGGTCTGTTATCATTCACTCTCTGTTACATAATATTTATATAAGCAAGCCTTGTGCAGAATTTCTCTGTCACATCAAAGAGTGCATGATAAAGATGACACTGATTTTAATACCAGTCTGAATAACAGGAATTTACCTCTATAGATTACCAGATCATTTAGGCTTACACTACATACCACAAGTCACAAACGCAGTTACTGTAGTCCTTATGCCAACCATAAAGATGCATCAACAACAGATTATTCTAAATATACATCATCTATCAAGATATAATTTTTTTACACTAATAAATGAGCAATAATGAAATATTGCAGAATCAGAATAAAAGAAGAAACCTACATTCTGGCCAAAATAACAGTGTAAAAAACATCATGTCATCCAGTGACAAAATGTTACCAGCAGCAAGAGAATCAATGGAGCATCAACAGTGTATATCAGAAAGAGCTCCAACTGAAACCTACCATCAACCAGCTGTTCTCAAGGCACCATCCCACATGTTGATACCCGACAAATGCAGCGTTTCACTTCCGCACTGAGAAGAGAGGAAATCTGAACACAGCTAAGCCAAAAAACGGATGACAGCTTATTTCAAACTAGCATATGAGGAGGAGAAAGATTACTGGTCTCTCGCTCTCTCTGGATCTTTAATCAGGCCACACCTTTCTTTCGTTCACTCTCTACGTCATTCATAAATTCAGCATGTAAACATTCACTCCCTCCCCTCCCCTTTCATCAACTCACTCTCTCTAAATGCTAACTCACTGCAGTACTCTTTGCAAAGCATTGTGGGATTGCGATGTAATTCTGAGACTTAGAGGAGATGAAGGTGCAGATGCCGCAAATGCGAGTCTGTTTCTCAGCCATAGGGCATTAGGAGATTACAGTGAACAATGATGCAGAGCAAAAATGTGTGTGTGTGTGTGTGTGTGTGTGTGTGTGTGTGTGTGTGTGTGTGTGTGCGTGTGTGTGTGAGAGAGGGAGAGAGAGAGAGCATCAGAAAGTGCAGGCCAATGAGATACAGCTGCTTTTGTCAGCATGCATGATTAGTGCTGACTCACAGTAAGGCAGTCAGAAAAAGAGGGACGCTGTGGGACTGAAACACACACACACACACACACACACACACACACACACACACACACAAACCTATAATAAACAAAATACAGTTCCAAGAATAAAAAATTTCTTGAATATGAATTTGTTAATGAATAATACATGTAGTCACCCTCAAGTGATTCCAAACCTTTATTTTTCTTTCTTGAATGGAACACAAAAAGAGCTATTTAGCAGAATGTCCAAGCCATATTTTCATATAATGAAAGTGGATGGAAAAGAAAAGCTTTGTTCCACACAATAAAAAATTGATCTGTCAAAACATTGCATCTATCTAAGGTATAACACCCAGACAAAAATACATTTTTAATATATATATATATATATATATATATATATATATTTAAAAAATGTACAGAATGTGCAGAAATCTCTGCCTATATTTGAAGATGAATGAAAGTTTCATGGGTTTGGAATGACATCAGGGTGAGTAAATGATTACAGAATTTTCCTGTCAGATTTAAATGTATTATTGTGGTGTCAAAATTGTTATCGTGAAATGTTATTGCTTTTTGTGTCCACTAATCTGTCAGTGTAACAACCCAAGTACGAAATCAGGTAAAGTACAAGAAAACAAAAGCATAAAAGTAAAGACAAATTCATATACATATACTCAATAATATTTTTATAATCTACAAGTGGCTCTCATTTTCCAATTGCTCAAACATAATATTAAATGCACATTTAACATACTCAACAACACCACCTTTTTTGATATCTGAAGTTTAGCATCAAAGCAAAAGCAAAGTTAATCATGACAAATCCTTATTAAGACAATATTTCACACAATAGGCAATAGTCATTGCTTTAAACAGAAATTTGGTAGGGTTTACTCACTCTCTTACTGTACAGTCCAGCCCATCACAGGGCTTTCCAGATACTGAACTCAGCTGTTTTGTTTGGGACGCGCCTTTGGCAATTGACCACATTGGATTCACACAATTGTGTACTGACCAGTGACCATGGTGATGACCAAGACCTTGACCACATCAGTCCAAACTACAAAAGCATAAACAAAGCTCTGTGTTTGAGAGAAAAGTAAACCTATTCCTTTTCTTCTTACAGCTGAGTGTAGGCTAGGGATTTGAGTAAGACCTACTTATACTGATCTAAAATGTTGAATATGCTTTACTATAAGTATTTAAGCTAAATGTATTTTGATTATTAATCTTCCTAAGCAACCAATATAATAACATTTACCATTCTGCTGCCTTGACCAGCTCTGGAAGATAATATGTTATAAAACTAGTTTATTTTCAATGTACAATTGATACAGATGACACATTTTCTAAACTCAAAGTACAAATTATGATAATCTTGATCAAGGCTATTTCACAAATGCTTAAGCATATTTTTAAAGATTTCATCTAGACATAACTTTATAATTAAAGTAGCATGAGTAGCAGCCTTTCAAAATGCAACATTTCACTTGCATCTCATTTAAATTCACTGATCTTAAAGTCGACATGAAACGATTGGATTTTCCCACATTATTGTGACGTATATCAAAGCAAAATGGCTTCTAAAATAGGGCATGAGGAATTTATTGGATTGCTCATCGCTGTCATGTGAGTGACAGGTTGCTAGATGAAAAGGATTGATACTCGACTGGCTATTAGACGATATTATTGCCCAGCCCTTGTGCAGGTGCACACATTGTGTTTGTAAAGTATCAACATCGAAACTACATATTCAAAACCAATTAATTTTTTCTACAGTATAACCACTACCATTTATTGTATGTAAATACAGCAGGATAGACAGCAAGGGAGAGGAACAAATCAATGACTTTGTAGAGGATCATCAGAGAGGTCAAAGAGGCGGCCCTGGAGCCTCTGTACACTGTTGTATCAATGCCTGGGAAACGGTCAACTATCAATTTTGATGTTCTCACTCATTTACTGTATGAAAAGAAACATGTTAACACTAAGAATAGACAATATGCACCACACTACTGCTGTGTACATTAGTGTAAGTACTTACTATCTATCCATCTATCTATCTAGCCTTTCTCAAAGTGGGTGCCGCGGCACACTGGGGTGCCCCCTAGCTGTGTCAGGGGTGCCGCCAAAAAATTACGTAGGCTAAAAAAAATGTGAAAAAAAAACCCCAGAAAAAAAACAGCTGACATTTCATATATAAATATATTTGAATTTACATTCTTTTTTTTAAACATATGAACATATTAATAAAATTGTAAATTAATTTTAGATAAATATATAAAATTAATCATAAAAAAATCCGTCTCACAAGTCCGAAGCAAGACACACACAACTTGACGCAAGTGACGCAATCCATAGCAACGCGTTATAGCAACACCTCAGACTGACAGAAACGTAAAAATAAACGTGAATTTAGGCCACTTTAGTTACAGCATTATGGATCGTTTTTTGAAAAGAAAATCCCCACAAGAGCCGGGGATTTTTATTTTATTTTATCTGCATCCTGCACTTCATTTGAGTTCTCCTCGTCTGGATTTGTTATTGGGTTCTTGTATTGGGCGGTCCACCTCTTACGGTTTTATGGCATTTGTGTCTCTGATTAATTATTTTGTGAATTACTTTCCAAACCTGTGTTTTTAAAGGTGCTATAAAGTTTTTATTATTATTGTTATTTACAGTTCATATTATGCTCTGTTCATTACTGTTCTGTCTAACTAAACAAGACATTTGCATTTAAATTTGGGTTATGCAGTGTTTTTAAATTATATTTTACACTGGGGTGCCTTGAGATTTTATGCACTTTTGAAAGGTGCCCTGACTGAAAAAAGTTTGAGAAAGGCTGATCTATCTAGACCAAAAGAAAGAAAGAAAATGAAAGTGCATACTGGAGTTAAAAAGGCGATTAAAGCCATAGATTGTTGGTTTATTCAAATCAAGAAACCTCACAAAAAAGTGAAAGCAACTGAATTACAGAATATAATAATCAATGTTTCACAAACTGTCTTTGATTCACTTACAGTACATCAAATGACAAAGTGAAAACCCACTTTTTGAAAGTAAAATAGGGCTGTGTGATATGGACAAAAAAAAGCTATCATTGTCAGTGTCAGGCGGTGTGCAGAATGCAGAAGACAAGGACAAAACTTAAAGGGTTAGTTCACCCAAAAATGAAAATTAAGTCATTAATTACTCACCCCCATGCTGTTCCAACCCCGTAAGACCTTCGTTCATCTTCGGAACACAAATAAAGATATTTTTGATTGAATCTGGGAGATAGATCAGTCCTAGATAGACTGCCTAAGGGACTGGCTCTTGACGGCCCATAAAGTCATTAAAGAAAAGGTTTAAATATTCCATGTGCCTACAGCGGCTCAATTATAAGTTTATCAAGCGACGAGACTACTTTTTAAGCGAAAAAAACATAAATAACGACTTTATTCCACTATTCCATTACTTCCTTATGGGCGCATGCGCGAGAACTGAGACGAGGACGTTCTCATTCGTCTACTTCTTGTTACCGGCTGCTCACCGCTTAGGAGTTTTACCGCCCCCTGCCGTATAAGATGATGTGCTGATATAACTGGAAGCGCAAAACTTTCTGTTTACAAGCAGAGGAAGATGCGCGCTGTGCACTTAAAAGCCTTTAATCTTCTCAAAAAACGACAGTGTTCCTTATAATCCGGAGCGCCTTATATATGGATCATCATTTTATACGGTAGGTGGCGGTAAAACTCCTAAGCGGTGAGCAGCCGGTAACAAGAAGTAGACGAATGAGAACGTCCTCGTCTCAGTTCTCGCGCATACGCCCATAAGGAAGTAATGGAATAGTGGAATAAAGTCGTTATTTATGTTTTTTTCGCACAAAAAGTAGTCTCGTCGCTTGATAAACTTATAATTGAGCCGCTGTAGGCACATGGAATATTTAAACCTTTTCTTTAATGACTTTATGTGCCGTCAAGAGCCAGTCCCTTAGGCATTCTATGTAGGACTGATCCAGCTCTCAGATTCAATCAAAAATATCTTTATTTGTGTTCCGAAGATGAACGAAGGTCTTACGGGGTTGGAACAGCATGGGGGTGAATAATTAATGACTTAATTTTCATTTTTGGGTGAACTAACCCTTTAACTTCATTCACAAACTCAATCTTACAGAAATGAAGGGAAACACTCCAGGACTTAATGCAAACAATTATACATAGACCACAAACAAATATTGAGGCAAACCACAAGGCTTAAATGAACTGGGACTAATGGGATAATTAACATAACACAGCTGATGGAAATGACTAATTAACCAGACTGGGAAGGCTAACAGGACCGAACCAAATTCACAAAAGAAAGGGGAAGACGATCACAAAACTGAACTAAACACAATGAAAACGTGAAAATCACAATTTTTCAGCAATATTGCAATTTTTTTTTTTACAATATTTCCTTACACACAAACTTGATGATATTTACGGCTACCATATCTTTGTATAGCTTACGTTATGCCTTTCGTATGCCTAACTTATGTTGTGCAGTTCGCAAATGCTTTTATTATGAATTTTTGTTCATATGGTTAGGAATGTGTGCCATTGTTTGTAAAAAATA